CACATGCTGCTCCCATGCAGCATACATTCTCTTATTATATTCCTATATATATATTATTATATTGCTGCAATTGCTGCCTCAAAGTGCCTTAGATTTTGTGTTACTTATTTATCTCATTTATATTTCATTTGTATTTTGTGGCATTCATGTGGACGGCAAAGTAAGAATTTCATTGTACAGGGAAACACGTTTCCTAACTGTTCATATGACAAATAAACACTTTGACCTTGACCTAATTAATGTGATTCTGAAAAACAAAGTTATCAAATATATGTAGTGTAGCAAAAAGTACAATATTTGCCTATAAAATGTTGTGAGGTCTAAGTATGAAGTTGTAGAAAATAGAAATACTTACCTAAAGTAAAAAAAACCTCCAAATTGTACTTAAGTAAATGTACTTTCAACTTGTGTTCTCTCAAACTGCAGGCTATCTGGGCTAAAGTTAACCTGACTGCGCATGCGCAGTCAGGTTGTCTTTGTGAACGTTTTTGTTTAGTTTAGTGAGGTAAAGGTGAGGACAGCACGCTGGAGGTAGCGGTCTAAAAACATCTTCTCTACAACATTTCTGCTGTATCTGGGTGCAGTAAGTTAAAGTCGCATTCTAGTACATTTAGTTTGAAAGCGACTTAGTGTGTTTTTAAATCGAGTTAGATTTAGCGTTAGCATGTCTAACGTTGTTAGTGTTAGCAATGACCGCAGCCTAGAGAAGCAGTGTAACAACTTATCTTACTGGAACTTTGAATCATAGTAAGCGGTAATAATACGCTAGGAAATTGTGTCTTTATTAATTGAGCAAGCATTTAGAGTGCATGTTTCAGCTGGGCGGTGGCAGCGCACACTAACAGTACTGTACTATTGGTCTTGTGTTCGTAAAAAGACTAACAATACAAATTGCGTCATTAGTAATAGCAACAAAACAAATGGAGTAGAGATTTCTGGCACAACTTCACTCATCATGCACTCTGGAAGAAGGAAACTCAATCTTGAGCGCTAAAAACTCCAACTATATTTATGTTTTCTTTACTGACTAATCTGTTGTCTGATTTTAGTATCGCTAGTAGCCTGTACCTTTAGTATGGCTCCTAGCCATTGACTGAATATTTATTAAATGTTTTATGTGATTGTAAGTGGTTTTAAGCCTGGCTGTGAAACTAATTTCCTCCCTCTGGGACAATAAAGTTAAGCTGAAGTTGAAACTTTAATATTTTAATGGTCCAGCATCCAAAACGAAGTCTCAGAATTGCTTGTGTTTTTGTTTAAAACCTGTTAAATGTGCATACTGTATTGTTGGCCAATATGTGAACTTTATATAAAACAGTAACACCGCAAGACTAAATACAAAAACATTATCTGTTTTGGTCCTCAGGTTCTAAATTTTCTGTAAATTTTTCGCAATTAATAGTTAATAGTTTGAAGTAAAGATCAACTTTACAACCTGAGATAATACCCTGTTACACCAGTGGTGCAAGGCAATGATAGTGCAATATTTATTTGTATTGCAGGGAGAAGACATGGCTAATAACTTGTCAGAATCTCTGCCAGAGCTGACCTTTCAGTACCAAAGGAGCCTGCCTCCCCTGCCAGTACCGTCACTAGAAATCAGCCTTTCTAAGTACCTGGAAGCAGGTAGGACGGTAACTGTGTTGCAGGATATGGTCCTTATTACCATTGCTAACTCTGAGAGACGAGACAGTCCAAGTAACTTCAAAACAGTGCTGATTTATTCAAAGGATCACAGGTAAAATTAACATTACACGCTCAGGTATCTTGCACCTCCAAACTGCTCGCAGGCAGATGTAAGATGAAAGACCCTGAACCCACCAGGCCTATACATTATATCCCCTCGGTTGGGCTAGCCCCATACTACACAGAAACGTCAACCGAGACGTCTCTGTTACCAGCTTTGCAGCTGGTCATAGCAGTAGTCAAAACATGAAGCAAATCAATGTGTGTGTGTCTGTTGGTTAAGTGGTGTGTAGCTAAAAACATTCTCACGACCTCTAGTAACATGTCGTGACTTAAACATAAGAACATATTATGGCTAAGGCTACAGTTATACACATCATAATAATAATATTAAACACCCTGTCTGCTGACAGTCATCAACTCTTCTCTCTAGTTATCCTTGACCAGATGTACTCTGTAGAAACTCATAAGCATGACTAAGCATTTAACAGTCTAACTAGACATCCTATCTCCACTAAACATTTCTAATACATAAAGTATCTATCCAATATCTGTCTGACTAAAAATACCTAACTGTGTGCAGCCTGTTGTGCAACAGAGCTGCTCTTTCTCAGGTTTTGTAAATATTTACCATGCAATCTCACTGACCCTTGGTGTTTGGATTTCTCATTGTCCCAGCTGCAACAATTAAATCCACAGAAGATGCTTAATGTCCAAAATCACTTGACAGATGGACTCATTTTAATTTTCCATGTTTGCCACCAGTTCGTCCATTCGCATCTGAGGAAGAGTTTGAGGCTACAGTGGACATTGTGAGGAAATTCCAAAATGGTGTTGGCAAACAGCTACACCAGAAACTACTGCAGAGAGCAAAGACAAAGAAGAACTGGGTGTGTAATTCAGCTGTAAATGTGTGCTCTGGTCTTGAAGGTGTCCTTTCTAGTCACTGTTGTTTGATTTAGCTAATCAAATCAAATTTGGCTAATCAGCCCCGCCCCCTCCCCCCCAGCTGGAAGAATGGTGGTTAGACACTGCATATCTGGAGCCCCGCATACCCTCCCAGCTGAATGTGAACGTTGGTGGGGCAGCGCCCTACCTGGAGCACTGTTGGCCTCCCGCAGAAGGAATTTATCTGCAGAGGGCCAGTGTTGTCACATGGCATACCCTGCAATACTGGAACCTGCTCCGTATGTAAGACATGCTCACAAGCTGCTATTTTCTGAGGTTACTCTCCTTTTTAAATGCAGTTACATAAATATGTAATTTTGGCTTATTTTTTCCTCTTCATGATTTAGGGAGCGGCTGGCTCCTCAAAAATCTGGCAAAACAGTGTTGGATATGGACCAATTCAGGATGTTATTCTGCACCTGCAAAGTCCCTGGAGTTCAGAAGGACACTCTTCATAACTACTTCAAGACAGGTAGAATAAACTCGGCTCTTATCTCTAACCTTCAGGCACATGACGTGGTTTACATCATGTAATGTGCATTTTGTGTCACAGAGCGAGAGGGTCCCTGCCCCTCTCATATAGTAGTGATGTGTCGTGGACGGATCTTCACTTTTGATGCACTATGTGATGGACAAATCCTCACTCCTCCAGAAGTTCTCAGGTGGTTATTACCTACAAGTGCACACACCCTTCAAGATTGAAACCCAAAGATGAAACCTAGTACCCAAGAGAATACATTTGTTATCGTTAATCACTTATATTGGTCATGTATGTTACATACACAAGGATTTATCTCTGGTACATTTTCTCTTCCCTGACATAGATAGTAATGTAAGTTGTATCTGAATGCAGGCCTGTCAACAGACATTACATACCTCCAAATGGGATGGTTTATGTGCTCAGGAGACTTCTCTTTTTTACAGAGTAGAGGTTGATTTACAGTGTTTCAGTCACTGAGACCTGCAGCAAACACTGTTACTGTTGCTCGCTACATTAGCTAGGAAGCTTATCATCTCATAACAAGCAAGTGTCAGTTTTAGCAAAATGAATTGTTATTGCTTCACCCATCCATTCATATTCTGGTGTTTATCCAAGACTAGGTCACATTAAATTAATTATGTTATTATTCCTGTACAGAATAATATATTTCTGGAAAGTATAAAAAATGTTACAATAAATAATGGGCTAGATGATGAGGAACTGTAGTTTAATGAAAAGCAGCTTTGGTTATTTGTGTGTTTCCCTGTGCAGGCAGCTGAGCTATGTGAAGGAGAGATGTGAGGGAGAGCCAGAGGGACATGGAGTGGCCGCTCTCACCTCAGAGGAGAGGACTCGCTGGGCAAAGGTGAGGGTGCTCAGGTTTGGAGACCTCGGTGTTCATCTTTGCAGATAAGCTCTAAAGTAGATTATTGATCACATTTGTGGGAAAGTTCTCAGATAAAAAAAAAAAATCAGCATCAGAGGACCTGTTTACTCTTCTCTGCAGACCAGGGAGCATTTGATAAGCATTGATCCACACAATAAGACCGTCCTGGAGACCATCCAGAGCAGCCTGTTTGTCCTATCTCTGGATGAAACCAAACCCTACTCCACTCCAGAGAATTACACAAATGTATGCACTGCACAAATCCGAGTTATTTATGACTTCAAGATTCACCATTTAAATTCTGTTCTGGCTGCAGGAAAAGAGTTGTGCGTCTGATTGTGTGACCTTTTGATTCTGAACACAGATGGCCCAGGCAGCCCTTACAGGTGACCCAACCATCCGCTGGGGAGACAAATCATACAACTTTTTTGTGTTCTCAGATGGCACTTTTGGATCCAATTGTGATGTGAGTTTATATGTGTGTGAAAGGCCCAGAGGAGTTTAGAGACTATGCAAGTTTGTCGAAACCCCATGTGGCATGTTTTGAGATTCAAGATTGTAATCTGTCCAAAAGCAAAGAATTATACTGTGTAAATGTGATTCTTAAAGGCATAAAAATAATAGATTAAAATCTCTACATTGCTTTTCAGCATGCACCATATGATGCCATGGTACTGGTATTATTCTGTTGGTATATGGACCAGCAAATTAGATCTACAGATGGCAAATGGAAGGTAAACATAGACTATAACTTGATTCCAAACATAAGTTGAAATAGTTCTTGTTACACAACTTGATGTTTGTGATCTCAGGGCTCAGATGTAGTCCGACCCATGTCCCTTCCCGAGGAGCTGGTGTTTACTGTGGATGAAAAAGTCCAGAGTGACATCAGCCATGCCAAGCAGCAATACCTGGAGTCGGTGAGCTGACAGTATTCAAATACACACACGCATGAAAAAAAGTATAATGTGAAATGGCTTGTGTATGGTCACACCTGTGTGACTATGCTTCCTGGTTTTACAGGCACAGGACCTGCAGGTTGTGAGTTACACCTTCATAGCATTTGGGAAAACAGCCATCAAACAGAGGAAGCTACACCCTGACACCTTTGTTCAGCTGGCAATGCAGTTTGCCTACTACAGACTGCACAAAAGGTGAGGACTGGTTAAAAATTGTCCCATGGCTTTACTGATATTTGAAATCTATGAGGTGAATGAATTAACGACTGTTCTTCTCTCTCAGGCCTGGTAGTTGTTATGAAACAGCAATGACCCGCAGGTTCTACCATGGCAGGACGGAGACAATAAGACCCTGCACCCAGGAGGCTGTGAACTGGTGTAAAGCCATGATCGACCCCACGTGCAGTGTGAGTATGTGTGTCTGTGGCAAAACCACACACAGAAACTTTATTTGGAAGCAAAACCTTTGCTTGTTTTACATGGTGCATAACAATGTTTCTGTCAGGTTAATGCCAAGAGGAAAGCCATGCTGAAGGCCTTCAGTAAACACAACACACTGATGGCTGAAGCCCAGGAAGGGAAAGGTTAGTTTACATTCATGTAATTGAGTTGATGTTTCATATCACAGCTAAATAGTTTAGAAAACTGGAATTATCATACTGTCAAATTGCCCATTTTAACAGTACCCTGTGGAGGTTTTGACCAATTGAGCAAGGTTTTTACATGTATGTCTCCATTGGGTTTGAATCAAGTACGTGTATTTATGATATCACTTCATGATGTTTTGTGATGTTGCCAGGTTTTGATCGGCATCTCCTTGGTCTGTATCTTATTGCAAAGGAACAGGGACTTCCCACTCCGGAGCTCTTCATGGATCCCCTCTACACAAAGAGGTGCAGTGTAACTAATGTTATCAATTGCACGTGTTTTACACATGTCTTGCATTAATCTGAAAGCCGACAGAAGCGAGATATACAATATAATGTCTCAGTAAGCCCAAATTGTCAACTGTCACAGCTGCAGTATGTCTGCAGATGCTTCTAAGTTGGCAGATCTGCAAGTTTAAAGGCTTTGTTTAATTATCATTTTAACTCATTCATTTCTTAATTCAGCTGTTCTAAAATAAAAAATCTTGCCTTTTTTTTAATGACACTTTACACATTTGAGGAATCAATGCCCAAAAGTAATACTTATTGCTAAATGTTTAAACAAGGATTATCAGCTGATTAATTTTCTCAAATTAATTGCCTCAAATATGAGTAGTGGCATCAGCCTCAAAGATCCCTTATTGGTCTATCAAGTCAAATCAAATTTTTATTTATAATGGTCAGTTTGACTTTAAAAGTGCCCACAGGGTTTTTCTACCTGTGTGTGATTGGGTTGTGTTGTGTTTGCAGTGGGGGTGGTGGTAACTTTGTGCTGTCGACCAGCCTGACAGGCTACTTTACGGGTCTGGGGGGCCAGGCCCCCCCGGGGGCTACGGCTTCTTCTACAACATCAGAGATGACAGGTGGGGAGAGGAGACACAAGCAGATGAAACTAATCACAAGCACATGAGATGAATATAAAACTAATCATCCAAAATAAAGGCTGCTTTTTGTTTTAGTTCTTTATTTGCTGTAATTATGTGCATTAGTGTCCATTTCAGTAGAGATGTCACCATCATTAAGAAAAACTGTTCTTATTCACTCAGTTTAGACCTAGTAAGTAATCAGACAATATTCTACAATAGGGTTTGAATTCATCCACAGTTAAATGTTACAAATTGTGTCTATCTTCCTTCTACTTTCAGCAGCTGTAAATAAAGTCAGTCTGTCTTTATTCTTTCCAGGATTGTGGTCTCCATCACAACATGGAAATCTTGCCATCAGACAGATGCTGCGTCAATGTTCAACAGCTTCAGTAGCTCCTTGCACGAGATGCTCCACCTGGCTACCACATCTCAGCTATAAGTACCCACAGCAAACACTGGACAGGCTAATTTACATATTTACTGTATCTCTTAGCTCTTTGCCCTTGTTTGAGCATTAATGCTCATACAGTTCACAAACCCTCTGTCATCAGCCAACAGCTGGTGATAGTTGCATTTATTCTCAGCACTAATTAATGCAATGGTACGGAACAGTACCACAAGTTATCTTCAGATTGTGGCATTTTACTTTAATTACAACTCTTCTGTTTTGTTGATCTGTTGAATGAGATTTTTTTTTTTTTTTTTTTTTACAGTAAATTGTTTTCGGGCGTATGGGTGTTTGGGTCATGGCCAAAAATACTGGCTCCCCTGCCTTTCTGTCAGATAATGCACCACTTCTCCCAGAAAATTGTTTATTCACAAATTCTTTGGTATTTTCATATTTATTATTTTTGTTTGCATTGGAACAACACAACAAAGCAGAAAAAAGCCAAATTTGATACACAGAACTCCACAAACGGACTGGACAGAATTATTGACACCCTCAACTTAATATTTGGTAGCACACCCTTTGGTCAAAATAACTGAAATCACTTACTTCCTGTAACCATCAGTGAGTTTCTTACTCTACTGGAGTTTTGGACCAACTGCTCCAGGTCTCTCAGAATTGAAGGGTTCCTTCTCCGAGCTGCTGTTCTGGGATCTCTCCACAGGTGATCGATAGGATTTAGACCTGGACTCATTGCTGGCCGCTTCACAACTCTCTTAACTCATTGTCTGAATCTATTTCTGGTGTGTTTTGAAGTTTACTTTGGGTCATTGTCCTGTTGTACGACCCATGACCTCTGATGGAGACCCACCTGTCTGACACTAGGCCCTACATTGGGCCCCAGAATTAATTGGTAGTCTTCAGATTTCATAATCCCAGACACATAGTCAAGACATCCAGAGCCTGAAGCAGCAAACCAACCCCAAAACATCAGTGAACCTCCATCACGTTTGACTGTAGGGACCATGTTCTTTTGTTTGAAGGCCTCATTTCATTTTCTAACAACAGTAGAATGATGTGCTCGACCATAAAGCTCTATTTTAGTCTCATCTATCCACAGGACATTCTCCAATTGAGATCGTCCATGTTTTTCCACCATTGTGGTTCTTAGATCCTCAGACAGTTCTTTGCTCTTCTTTCTTTTCCCCTTGCTCAGTGTGGTCCACATGATACAAGGGTTGAGTCAACTTTTCTCCATTTTAACTGGTTACCATTGTGATTTCTATATTGCCAGCACCTGTTGACTGCTACAGGTGAGTTTCATTACAAATTAAAGGACCAACACGGGCTGAAAATAAAACTATTTGATGATTTAGAAAAGGTATCAATAATTCTGTCCAGTCCATTTGTGGAGTTCTGTGTGGAATGGATCAGATTAGGCTTTTTTTTCTGATTTTATGTGTTGTTCCGATGCAAACAAAACAAACATAAGAATACCAAAGAATTTGTGATTGCAACAGTTTTCTGGGAGAAGTGGTGTGTTATCTGATAGAAATGCAGGGGTGCCAGTATTTTTGGCCATGACTCTTTTTTTTTTTCTACCTCATGATTCTGGTATAAATTTTACAGTTTTTAATTTGAAATTATCCATATTATATATGTCCTAGTGGGACAAATATAAACAGTATTAACAAAGAGATCTAAGGTGGAGGACTGTAGAAAATACCCGCTGGCTGCTTTGACTCTTGGCCTTAGTTTTTGCTGTGATATAATAAAGGGCATTTTAATCAGACCCATAAAAAAAACTTTGATAGGAGTGAAATAAAATTTATTTGTCTTGTTTTAAGTTTTGGATTGGGCTCCCTATGAAAATCACAGAAATATGCATTAACAATACTCAACAACAAAAAACAGCAAATACGTATATCCTAGTTTTGACTCGTGATTTGTGAGAAATTTATACATAACAAAAATGATATATGCAAGTCTGATTTATTTGCCCCCTAGTAATGTTAGGTTCTTCAGGAGGAGATTGAAGAAATTTAATTGGTGCAAAATTGGTGTAGGTGGGCACTAGAATGAATTTTTAAACTGTTTCAGTGCTCAAATGGAAACTGATATTGCTTTAAGACCAACTTCAAACCTGTCCTGTAACCAGTGGATGCAGCTAGCTGTTGCTGCTAACACTCCCACTGTTATTCTGTACGTTCAGTCATACAGTTACAGGGTAAAGTATGTAGTATTGAGAGAAAGACAGCTAACCTAGCACTGTTCCTTTACTCTGCGGGACGTAACGGTACAGTTCTCCACTTTGTGAGTGAAACAGAAACTTAATAGCACATTGAATGTTGTAAAATGACATTTTTAATTGCTAATTATATCGATACATGACCAACGTTAATATTACGTGGGCCTGTTGAAAAAGAGGATAATCTCTGAACCACAACCAACGTGGTCACGACACCTTGTGCACACTATGCAGTTTTCCTTTGTGTTCACTGAATAATGGAAATGTAGTTAAGTGTAATACAGTGTGAATGTCCTACCAAATAAACTAAAGAGATTTCCATCCTCTTGATTTTTAGTTTTGTTAAGTTAAAAGAATCAAAGCAGAAAAAACGGTTCAGTAATTGAGTATAAAACTTTAATAGTTACATATTAGCATTTTCTCCAAAAAGGTTAATTCTGTGCATTTAAAGAAACCAAATAGGATTTCTAGTGATTGCAGCAAATGGCGATAGTTCACTTCTGCCCAGTCCTGGGCATGCAGTATTTTCCTGTGTTAAACTAATCAGGCACTTCTGCTCTACTATGACAATCATCATGACAATCATGGTATTTATAAAAAAAAATACATTACACTGTAGAACGCAACTTATTCCTGGTGATCCCAGTGTCAGAGGCATACTGAATGCACTATGTTAAATAATAAATAATAAACCCAGTGTTTTGTTGGCTTTTATCACTGTACGTTTAGCATTACTATTTTGCACTTAACAGGAGATGGCACCAAAAATCAACAGCAGTTAAGGTTTGCTTGCTAAGATCAATCTTGACTAGGAGAAGCAGAAAGACAACCCGATGGTGTAACACAAAAGGTCTTTTTCACAGCAGACATTTTGGCTTGTCATAGCAGGAAAAGCACAGGTGTTACAAATAAAATTCAGGTGTCCCAATAAGCTGTGACAGTGAGCCAGCCTGCACAATACCAGGATCCTGAAACAGAAGCAGCTAAATGAATTCCACTGATCATACACTTGATTATTTACACCTGTGCTTTTCCTACTGTCACAGGCCAAAATGGTTTCTGTGGCTGGTAAAAGTGACAGTTAAGGAACTGTAGTAAAGAAATTAGATCTTTTAACTGAATTGTGTTAGTCTCAGCACAACTGAACTATCTGACCCAGTGAATTACAGTCAGAAGGCTGAAGGCCACATCTCCCAACAGGCTAGGACACAGTCAGTACATTAAGTCCCCAATTGCTCCACTGAAGCTGCTCAGGCTTAGTATAAATTGTGAAGCAGGGAGTTGATGATAAAAGGCACAAGTGTCTAATCTAGCCCTCTAGAAATGTAAAGATTAAGTATAGTCAGTGTAGTATTGTGTCCCTGCCCCCTTATTTACTCCCATGGGACAACTGTGTGGTGACCAGCATGTGGTAGACTCCCTTCTTGGCCAGCAGCTGTTGATGTGTCCCCTGTTCGATGACCACTCCTCCCTGAAAGACGACAATTCGGTCGGCGTTTTGGATGGTGGACAGGCGGTGGGCCACAATGATGCATGTCCTGCCCTTCCTGGCCTGGTCCAGTGCCTCCTGCACCACCTGCAGAAGGAGCAGCATAAGCAGCAAATGCACATTAACTTGTGTGAAACATTTCTGTATAGATCTACCTTGTTCAGACATGCTTTCTTGTTTCATATTTACTGGGTGATACTTTGATGGAAATAGGTGAATTAATTTTTATTTTGATGCATGTTCACTTAATTTCCACTGAGGACTGAGTACACTATGCGTTCACTTTAACACTGTTGTTGAGATTTGATTATACATGCCACGTTTACAGTATACTGATTAAGTTACTGCCACTTTTGTGTATGACCAAATGCAATACTACGGCTTGCTCCATTTTACCACCTATAAACAGACTTGACAAAGCTATTCTTTCAACAGATTATTTGTACTGTGGACTATTTCTGCTTTTTTGTCTCTAGTATCATTATATGGGTGATCAATTTTGCTACCAGACGTGGAGTGTCAGGGATGAGAAGAGGAAATGTCACTCACCTTCTCGCTCTCGGTGTCCAGTGCAGAGGTGGCCTCATCCAACAGCAATAGCTTCGGGTTGCGGAGGATGGCTCGGGCTATGGCTACACGCTGCTTCTGACCACCTGACAGCTGTGTGCCCTTATCACCTGCCTGAGTGTCGTACTTCTGCTCAGAGAAAGAGAGAGAAAAGACAAGAGGGCACGTAATCCTTAATCCATGCACATCACTGTGAATAGCTTTCTTTCTAAAAAGAAATGTTTTGGTAACAATTTACTTCTTTGGGTCTAACTTCCTGCTAATTTGCTATGAAGTTTCCTGGGGGAAAAAAAGGAATTGGTGCTAATTATAATAAAAGCAGAGACAGACATCTGAGACTAAATTTGCATTTATTTAGTTTAAAAGCAACTGTTCACTGAGAGGCATTTTCTTGGAAAAACTGCTACATTTAATCACAAGTATTCATCGATTTAATAATTATTGGAAACTTTACTTGCCATATATATTGAATTATATACATACTGTATTTCAGATGTTTGCATGTTCAGCTGTGCTAACTGAAATACTAGGTTACACTAACAATTTAAATTCATCCATTAGAAATGCGTTATTTTAAACACTATCTGTAATTGGCACCAAATTACATATTTAATTCAAGGAAACTTCCTGGGAAATTATATACTGCTGGCAGTGTCGTCTGTGGATTATCCAGAATAACGGATACTTCTTCTAAAAAGAGAGGCCTCTGTTTAATTACTAAGCAATGTTCAATGTTCACTGCTCTAAAACCCAAAGTTGATACTACTACAGGTAAGTGAGTACATGGGAACTGAATGGGTGGTTGATTAACTCTGGAGAGTTAAACATTTTGTTGCTGTTGAATAATTGTTGGCACACTGAGACACACCATATAACCAATTTATGTGTGATAGAGGGCCTTGACATGTAAAGATAATCACTCCTCAGTATATAAAAAAAAAATGTTAATATTAAAAAAATTATCACAGCGCTTTTATTGTAGGTTTGCTACAATTGCAAACACAACACTAGTGAAACAGGATATCACAGCTGTTACCTGTGGCAGGGTTTCTATGAAGTTGTGAATGTTGGCTGCTTTAGCAGCTGCTTTGATCTCCTCCATGGTTACAGTGCGGCTGTTGTCTCCATAGGCAATGTTCTCCGCTAAAGTGCAGTCAAACAGCACGGGCTCCTGGGATACGATGCCTATCTGAGACCTCAACCAGTGGATATTCAGGTATTTTGCATTTATATCATCCAGAACCTGAAGGAGAAAAGGGCAGCACAAATTATTGAAAAAGCAGTCATGGGGCTTAATTTTTAAAAAATATTAAACTTATTACTCTACATTTACATTACATTTTAGAATCTTTCAAGTTAACGACACAGTGCTAGCATTCATTTAGAGGCAAGTAGCGGGCTGGAAAATCTAAACAATCAACTGAAAGACACTACAGTGCTCCATGGAGCTGAGGCAAAGCACAAAGGTAGGTGATAATTTCACTACAAGCTTCCCCTTTCACATACAGGTCATCCTGTGATCTGCTGTTAATATGAAAATACTGATCATCAAAAATCAGCAGAAATGAAAACATGTCCAAATGTAATATTCTTGTTCTACCAAACGAGTAGCAGAGGATAGTAGTGATAACGTGGGACATCAGGAGATACTGAAGCAATAAATATTCTTTTGTCTCTCACAGGACTGTGAGCAACAATAATAAACCCACCAAGATAAAGTGAAATGGTTCGTGCTGATACATGATTATATGAGATAAAATCACGCTCCACACAGATCTCATAATGTCTAAAGGTCACTGCCTGTTCAGTATAATGGTGTAAAGCAGCCATAAAACACATACTGGCTAGCTAACCATTAGCTAACTGACAGTAGGTGAAGAGGCAGTTAAACAGTGGGGGTGTGTATTTGTCTTCTCACCACTCTCCCTTCTGCGGGGTCATAGAACCTCTCCAGCAGCTGGATGGTGGTGCTCTTTCCACAGCCACTGCTCCCTACCAAGGCCAGCGTCTCTCCTTTCTTCACCTTCAAGTTCAGCCCTTGGAGGATGGCCACATCAGGGCGCGAAGGGTAGTTAAACTTGACATCCTCAAAGCACACGTTACCATCAAATTTGTTCTGGAGTGAGACAGAAGAGAGAGATGTTGGCATGCGAGTACAGAGCTGTATTATAAGTACTGTGTTTGGTGTGTGGAGCTTTAGGTAATGTACCGGTGACTCTCCCTCCTGTGAAAGGTTATCAATGGTGGGCTCTCTGTTTATCAGCATCATAAGGTGGGAAGCTGATAGTTTGGCCTTAGCGTAGTTTGGAGCAAAGGAGTTGGCCTCTCCCACGGCCATGGCACCGTAGAGAACAGCCGAAATAACACTGGGAGAGGAAATCAATTGACAATCAATAAAATATTTCACACAGTATCAAACACAATCTTGGAAGCTGTAGGTATAGACATGTATGTGTTTGTTATAAAAATGCTTCATGGGAGTGAAGAGTTAATATTTCTGTGTTTTATAATTCTGTGTTCCCCCCAGAAGCTCAAAGTGCTATGAGCTCAGGACTTCCTCCTTGTGTAACAGCTACAGTAAAATACAGATGGAAGCTTTGGCTCCTCCCAGCTACCACACAGATTTACATTAGCAATTTTAAATGTGCGTCTTTATGTGCTCTGTGTACAGTGTCTTGTGTGACCATGTGCTCTGGGTTTGGAGCCATTCACAGTGACCTTTACATGCTTCAGACCCGGGAAATTATTAAAAGCCAAATGAAGAGCGTGTCCTCCCAGCATGCTTTGGTCTGATGTTATCTAATGATCTACAAGTGCACACAAACTGCTGGAACATCTTTTGCATGATAAATTAAAACTCCTGACTGTTATTCTCCTGCTCTGTTATTCTTCCTCCCACAGTCCAAAGACATGCAGCTTAGGTTGATTGGTGTCTCTAAATTGCCCGTAGGAGTGATTGTGTGTGTGAGTGGTTGTTGGTCTATGTGTTAGCCCTGCAATGGACTGGCGACCTATCCAGGGTGTACCCCGCCTCTCGCCCTCAGCTGGCTGGGATTGGCTCCAGCCCCCCGTGACCCCGTTTGAGACTAAGCGGTTTAGAATATGGATGGATGGATGTTATTTTCCTGTTTAAGAGACTAGACAAAGTGATACTGTGTGTTTACTCACAGGAATACCCCCTCAACGTCCATCCTTCCTTCTTTAATAAGCCAAGCCCCAAACCGGAAACAGCCTGCATAAGCGAAGTAGATCATAGCCTGGGAGAAGGAGAAGGTAATACCATACACATGGGCCTTTTTCTTGGCGTTCCTGTACAGAGAAAGAGGGAGGTGGCATCAGAAAAACACACCCCAAATTTATTGAATGAAATTAGAACAGATATAATATCTGTTCATATATAGTAGATGGATCTGTAGTTTAAGTTACATACTTGTATGGCACTTCAAGGTTTTCCTGATACAAAGCCTCAAATTTCGGTTCTCTGTTGAGAGAGGCGACAGTACGGATATTCTCAATGGCCTCGGTAGCAATCTGTGGAGACGCATAAACATATCTACTGTATGCCACAAGGTGAGTGTTTCAACAGTTGGTGCTCTTCCTAAAAAGTGACATACAAAAGTAACTTCCACGTGAGTCTTACCCTCGCACTGAATCCTCACCTTTCCAGCTTTCTCCAGCTCCTTCTTGTCTTCAGCAGCATGTCCAGTGAGCAGCTTTATTGACACAGCTCCAGCCACTGCCATGATGGGCACCACAGCCAGGATGAGCAAGGTCAGCTCCCAGCCATATACAAAAGAGATGATCACAGAGGTGCCCATGTTGGCAAAGTTCTGGGCCAGTGTGGCCATACGTACTCCTGTAGCCTGAGCAGACATTCTGATCAGTGATTTTATTAGGCAGTTTGTCATTGTAGCCTTTGATAAATACCTTTGTTTGTTCTTTGTGTGACTTACCCCTTGTACTTGGGCAGCATCTGTGGCCAGTCTCGTAGTGAGTGCTCCAACACTGTTTTTGGGTTCGTCAAACCACCCAAGGTCCTGCAAGAAAACAAGGATAAACATTTATATTGGCAATGAAAAATCTATAACAATCAAAAATATGCTGCCATTCTGAGCTTGTTGTATCAGAACTGTTTAGCTTTAAAGTTGAGCTATTACTAAATAATCAACAGTCAAAGTTAAAATTTAGGGGAATAACATGTTTGCTTATTATTTATTAAGAATTTAACATAAAAAAACCCAAACTGACTGTGTGGTTTGCGGTTGGAGTGCTGGCAACACACACCAGCAACACAGCTGTCACCACATTTTGATTTAAATGTTGTTATACTCTGATTGGTGCAAGGAAATATGAAACCTGCTTTGTCCACAATAGTTTACACCATAGTAGAGTGTGGATACCTGAAACAAGCCCAATGGGACCCATTGGTACCTGAGGGTTTGGACAGAAATTTAGAAATTATGTTTAATGATAAGGTGGAAAACACCGTACAGACTCAACTGTGTTGGGCTCAGGTTGGATTTGGACATTATTATATAGACTACAGGTCCAGGTCAGGTTTGGACGCCACACTCGGGCATGCTTCAGGTTTGGAAAGAAATATCCGGGCCAATCCATGCTCTACATTAAAGCCGTATTTTCTACCTACGTTTATCTTTATCTCACCCCTTGGATTATTTAAGTACTGATAGAAGAAGTGACCTAAAAAATTTTGAATTGCTACTAATTTAGTTCCCCTATAGGTCTGGTCTCTCATTTCAGTTTGTTGCACACACCTGTCTCATCATGGACTTAAAGGCCAAGAGTCTCAGTTTCAGTGTCAGAAGCTCTCCAGATTTACCAAAACAGAAACCCTGAAAATAATTAAAGACAAAACACTTTAGCACACCTGGATATTAGTATGAACTTCTTTGACTAACAATTATGTCATCTGCACGTGCTTATCATCTGTATAAAGCATCTGTCTGTATACAAATGGCACTAGGGTAAACCAGGGTAATCGTGATACAGTACTGTAGGTACCATGTTTGTGAATATATCTTGGTTTTAGGTTTAAGGTAAAATTAAAATAATATTTGGGTTTAGGCCTATATGCTTAAAGAAACACGTCAACATTTTCAGAAATGTAATTATTTGCTTTGCCTAGATGAGAAGACTGATACTGCTCTTATGTTTGTCCAGTAAATATAGAGCAACTGCCATAAACCAGTTAGCTTAACTTAGCACAAAGAATGGAAACAAGGGGAAACAGCTAGCCTCATTCCATTCCTAGTGCTTTTCTTTAGCATCTGGTTGTTAAACTAATCAATCAACCAAAATATAATGAGCTGCAGTTAGGTGGACTCTGTCACCTTAGACTGAGCTAGGCCAGCTGTTTACCCCTATGCCCAGTTTTAATGCTAAACTAAGCAAAATGGCCACAGGTTGTACAGCATCATCTAATTCCCAGCAAGAAAGAAAATAAGCATAGTCCCCAAAAATGTCAAACTTTTCCTTTGACAGTCAGGAAATTAACATATGTTAACTTGTGCATATATGTGCAAACCTGCAGAAACATGGTGATGAAGGATACACCTCCAATAGCAGCAAACATGAGGGAAAACACTGTGGCTCTCTGTCTGACAACCTCTTGATCTTGCACTGTAAACACCTGAGACAGGGAAAAAGACAAACCTAAAGTGTAACCTTTCTACAACAACCAACAAATGTCACAATTAACAAGTGATATTAAAATAACTTTAATGTTGTACATATACTGTACTATTGGTAACCCACAGTGATGATCTTGGAGAAGATGATAGCAAACACTGGCTGCATTATTCCGTTGATGATGGCACAGATGGTCCCCACCACAATGTACGGCCACTCAGGAAGGTTGAGACGCATGACTTTAAAGAACGACACGACGGGAACATTTTCATCCTGAAGAAAGTGGGAGAAGGAGCTGAGTCTAATTCACAAGACAAACACAGCTGCAGCAGAAGTCAACAAAAAAGTATTGTGATGGGACTGTATTACTAGTGTTAGCGTAACTGAGAGAAGCCTTTGACATTTTGTTGAATTTTTTAGGGAAACCCTGCAGCACATTGCCTCTTCAATTTAAGGTGCTGCCTCTTAGTTACACTCTGTCTGTATATCTATTACAAACTGAGGCACCCTGACCACTGAACACCCTCGCTTTCATCTCCCCATTGCTCCTTGGTTAAACTGAACCTCAAATCAGTTTCTTGTACAGACTTTAAAATATCTATTCCAGGTTTTTGCAAAATGGACAGTCCCCGAAACAAAATAATTTAGATTCAAATGAAGATATCAGTATAAGCACGACTGTGATAAACTGAATATAGTATATAATATTTGAATGTGGAAAAAAATCAGTTTTATCTGTTGAGATGTTTCATCACAGCTCACCTCTTCTCCCTTGTCCTTGTCATATTTTAACTGTTTTTTGTCCTCTTTCTCTCTGTCTGAGGGAGTGAACGATGAGCCTTTTTTGGATTTCCTACTGTACAGAGAGGACTCGGACAAGGACTTTACTGGGCTCTTCTCATCTGTAGACAGCTCATACTCCGCCTCCTCCCCCTCGTCGACTTTCTGAAAGGTCTGTGGTACACAAACAAGAACAACCTGACCTGACTGAACATTGTGAAAGTTCCCTGAAGTTCCCCTTGAGTATAGTTAATATATATAAAAAAAGATGTGTAAAAGTGTTTATATATGTGCATGTTACCTGCATGGTGACCAGAGTATTATAAACACCCTGTTTCTCCATCAGCTGGCTGTGAGTCCCCAGCTCTACAACTTCACCATTCTGGAAACCAGCAATGACATCAGCATTTCGGATGGTTGAGAGGCGGTGAGCCACAACTATAGTAGTACGACCCAGCCGGACCTGCAAATACAGTATTTGTCTGAGGTTTTGTGTCCTTGGTTATAAGGCGAAGATAGTGTACATAGTGTAGACCAAAGCAAAGCACTGACTTACAGCCAGGTCAACTTTGCCAACCATAGAGTCAGGCCACTAGCACTGTTTAAACAGTAGTAAAGAAAACTTACAACATTTATATTAAAAGTGTTTTCATTTTATAAATCTACACTAAAATGGCAGCATGTCTGTATCAGTGTCAAAACTTACAAAGTAAACCCTAAAACTGTTGCAAATGAGACAGAGCATGTGTATGTGTGTGTCTGCACCTTGTCGAGCGCAGTTTGCACAATGGTCTCGCTTTCAGCATCAAGAGCGGATGTGGCTTCATCCAGCAGGAGGATTTTAGGATTGCGTACTAGAGCTCGAGCGATTGCAATCCTCTGCTTCTGTCCTCCGCTCATCTGAGTACCTCGGTCTCCGACCAGAGTCTCGAACTTCTGCTCAACAATAAGAATCTCAATATTAGCAAGCGGTGGACAGAGTTTATTATAAGCACAGAGGACAGGGAAGTCATACATCAGGAAGGTTCATAATGAAGTCATAAGCATTAGCCTCCTTGGCAGCTTGTTCAATCTCCTCCTGCGTCACATCCGGTCGCCCATATCTGATGTTCTCAGCGATGGTGGTGGCAAAGAGGATGGGCTCCTGACTCACTACTCCAATCATCTCTCTCAGGTAGCGGATGTTAAGTGAACGGATGTCGTGACCATCAATAGATACCTAAGAAGAGGGAGAGGATTTAAACACAGCCACACATAATTAAAAGGGCATATTCTTTTGCATTGGAAAATGAACAGCTTTTGTGTCCATTTACTATAAAGTATTACACCAGTGTTGTTACATGTTCCACTTACTACTGTTTTGTATAGAGTTTTTCTTGCTTAGGAGGTAAAGAGCCTTATGTAGGATTTCTATACATTAAAGATATTTAATATTCATATTTCACTGCATGGTAGCAGTTGTTAGCCAATAGGAGACGGTGTCTTTTTGGTTTTCTATATAGTCTTGTGACTTCTGAAGGAAAGTGAGCAGTGTTTTCCTCCTGCATTGGAAATACATTGTTCAGCAACCAGCGAGTCTTGTGTTTTAAATTTTAATTAGGCAGGTAGTTTCTCTACGACAGTATTCACCACTCACTGCATTTTATGTTTCGAGTCTCTGCTAGTTGATTTTCATTTTGTTGCCAAATGGCTGCCTAGAAAGTAGGAAAATACTAGAGTGCATCTTGTCCACTAACCAGCAGTGACACATTGTGTACATGACCTGAAAGAACACCCATGATCCTTGACTTAAAATTTTGCTCTTACAAAATGACAAACAGAAGGTGAAAGAAACATTTTACAAATCAAACAAATGAACAAAAGTGATTAGTAGGTACCCTAAAGGGAAACTCTGCCGATTGTACACAGAGTCTGTTAACAGGTCTTTGGGAGCACTGCTTATGTGAATAAAGTTAAATGAAACTTTTCGTGGCCACATCTGGAGCCACATCTGGAGCCACAAGAGTCTTAAAGTGCTGAGGCAGTGTCGGTTGGGGCTGAAGACTATGTGTTTGAAAATGACAAACTTTTTGAAAAATCCAGCTGACTACAGCAGAGCACTAAGTCAGTCCTTTGAATAAAGTGTGTAAGAGGTGATCACTTACAGATCCTTCCTGAGGATCGTAGAACCTCTGCAGCAGCTGGATTGTGGTGCTTTTACCACAGCCGCTGCTTCCCACCAAGGCAATGGTCTGTCCACTCTTCACATTCAGGCACAGGTTATTTAATATCTAAAAATTGATAACAAGGTCAGTTAGCAGATACAGTTTCAAGTAATATAATGTCTGTCTACTGTTTTCTCTGTTCAAGTATAGCACTGTGTCTGTGGGGATCGTACTTTGACGTCCGGTCTCGATGGGTAGCTAAAATGGATGTTCTTGAACTCTATGTTTCCTTTGATGAAGTCAGGCTTGAAGCCGGCATCCGAATAGCTGTCGATGCTCGGTGTCTGTTAAGATAAGAGTCAACAATATTTCACTCATTTCTAAAACTGGGCTCAGTTCTGGTTTGTAGTTTGGCCACAGTGAAGAACTTGATTCTTATTAAAACCTCAAAGAGACAATGGGAGGAAGACTGTTAGGGTCGCTGTATTTACCCGGATTAATGTTTATTTATACAGCTCTTTGTGTTTCACTGCTTCTCTCGTTGCTAACACACATAGACGGTTGTTATTTTCTCTACCTGCTTCACCGCTGATAAAGACTGAACTCTGTGCTGACAGAGAATAGTTTGAAACAACTAAAAATCAAAGAGATTTAATCTTTTTTTGAGCTTTGATTGAGGCCGTGTGCATGCTATTTTGTGTTCATGTGCTTCTGGGCCAATAGTTTGTAGAATACAGTGTCTTGCATTTGTGCTTATAATTTAACTGGGTGTGTTGTCCTAGTGACAGATTAACCCTCCTGTTATGCTCGTGGGTCAACTTGACCCGCAACATAACAGGAGGGTTAACAGGTGCACTGTACACTAAACACAGGCCTCTCCCAGTTATATGGGTTATTTTATGATCAGTACCTGTGAATTAGTTTTGGTAAATGAGTTGAATTCAGTTGGTGGAAATAAATAAGTGGTCAGAGGGGAGAGCCAAAATGGTACAAAATCAGCCAAATTCTCACAGCAGGTCTCCAACTGGAGCTAAATCCAACATTTCATTACCGACTCCCGGTTGTTGGCTGCATCAGAGAAGCTCCCAACAGCGCCTGAACTCAGTGGTACAACTGTCAACTGACGTCTTTCCAGCAGCAAAAATAATATTGTTATTTTATTGTTTGCTTTGGGAGAAAATGTTTCATTCCGTACATGATCAATGATGCTGTACACTTTATGTGCAGCTCCACGGGCGCTTGCAAATGTCTGAATGTTAGGAGAGGTCTGTCCCAGTGTAAACGCTCCAATTAGCACAACGAAGAACACCTGAAGAAACACACACACACACACATCAGTGTTAGCTACACCAACCTTCTTTTAAGCACTTTTTCTATGTTTAAAGAAACAATATATATATATATATATAGAAATACAGTCATAATGTGTGTGCTCACCGTGAGTACAGATCCAATGGTGTACTCCCCACTCAGGATGAGTGTGCTGCCATACCAAAAGGCCACAGCGTAGGACAGGTAGATCATCAGGAAGGTGAAACCCATGGCGATGTTAGCAGAGATTGCCTTCTTTATTCCCATGTTCTTAGCATCCTCTAAGTTCTTTTGATATCTGTGATACAACACGCACACACAGACCCAAGAAGGAGTTAGGGTGTCAACAGGAGCGTGATAACAGCACCCTGTGGCATACACAAATGTCTTAGCATCTGCAGGCAACATCCATTTTTTATTATGGATTTTATTCAGTTACAGCCTTTGTGGGGGCTTTTTCATAGGACTATGATGACTTCAGAACAGATATGTTTTTTTGTTGAACAGAAAATAAGCAAATTAGCTCTCACTGATTCGTTTCATCAGGGTTTCTATAGTGTCAAAAATTAATTTTAATTCTAGGGCAGCACCTTAGATTTTGATATGCCATCACTGATTTTCAGCACCTAGAAACTACTGACATCATCTTCTAATTATTTGTTTACACTTAATCTTATTTAGTTTTAAATATCTCACTGTAAAATTATTTCTGATTTGTTTTGAATGTGGATATTTCAATTTTTGTGAAGCATAATATATTCTCTTTTTTGGATGAGATGTGTTATAAGAATAAAGTTGAATGAATATTTTTAGAAAATATTTATCTGTTTTGAGGAGATCTGTGCCATTATCTCCACTTCTTAATAAGATGAGACTAACCAGAAGAAATGAGTGAACAAACCTCCTGATCTCTCTGTTCTGTCCACTAAAGGCAAACACTGTCCTGATGGCAGAAAGCACCTCTTCTGCCACAGCTCCGGCTTTGGCGTACGCACTCTGCTCTTTACTAGTGAAGCTCGTCAGCACCTATTCAGACAAGAGAGACACAATGTTATTAAGGATCCCTGCACAGGCTTGTGTCCTATTGATCCATATCATAACACACAGGTAGCTGGACAAAAGCAGAACAATGGCCAAAGAGAACGTGAGCTTACTTTGCTGAAGAGTGCAGCTGAAACACCCAGCGCGGGGCTCACAGCCAGGATGACCAGAGTGAGCTTCCAGCCTTTGGTGAAACCAATGATGAAAGATGAGACAAAGCAGGACAAGGCCTGGATCAGCATCCCTGTCTTGTCACCAATACCCTCTTGGATTTTATAGACATCACTGTGTGGGTAAATACCAAAATAAGTTGTCTTTAGACTACTGCAACACTGATGAATTACTAATGGAGTAAAAATAATTTAGCTGTTATCATGTGAAAACTGCACAACTTCATTCATCCTCATATTTATGTTTTAACTTCAGATGAAGGGTTTTACTATATGATAATAAAAAGTAATGAAAATGTCTCTGTGTCAGAAATGAAAGTGCCAAGAAACCCCCCAGTTTCAAGAATCTGGAATGCAAATATTAGCTGTTATTCCTAGCATTCTATGATAGTAAATAGGTAGTTTTTAGATTTTAGACTGTTGGTCAGAGAAAATAAGCAATTTAAATATTTCAGCTACAGCATTATCTAAATTTCAGTAAGACTGAAAATTATAATATGAAACAGATTTTTCAGGTACCCACTCTGTGAGACGTGTATTGAGCTCTCCTGTCTCGTTAACATCAAACCAGCCAATGTTCTGCTGCATGATGCGATGGAAAAACAGCTTGCGGATACGCTTGACCTGCCGCCCGGCTGCCAGGGTCCAGAAGGACACCTCCAGGTAGGCTGCCACCAGCACAACGGCCCCCATGATAGAATATTTAATGGCATAACTGGGAGAAGAGAAGATAAAAGTGGAAGCTGATGACAGTAGATAATTTAAGGACCAAGAAATGAATAACTGATGCAGCTTCATGTCTGGTAAAGTCTGTGCATCTCAAAGTTCTCTGACCATTGTGCAATAAAGTTCTTTATAAAAATTAAACACAACCTACCTGTCATCATTATAACCGAGTAATTTTTAACTTCTTTCCTGATAGTGTGATTTGTTTATGCTGCCTGTTTTAAATCTTACTCAGTCATGTCCTCCTCTAGGGTGCTGTTCATTGGTATGAAGGTGAAATCTGAAGGCACAAGGTGATACAAGACATTATTAAAAGGTACTTGCTTCTTTATTTTTTATTTCTGTCACTGTAACTATTTGTCCTTGCTTGTTAACAGTAAACTCACTGGGGTTGCTGAAGTTGAAGGAGGGTATCGAGGTGTCCTTTATAAAACTGTCTGTCATGTCCCCAAACACGATACACATGAGAGGAAGCACCACCCCATGGGCCATGGCCATCACTGTCCCAATAAGGAGCATCAGAATGTCCATGCTGTCTGCAAACCTAAACTGCACTCACATAACAGTGTGGAGATACCATGAGAACAGCAGCGATAGTCAGTATGTGTATGTGGCAGATGCACCTGATAATTTGTTGGTCAAAATGTTTTGAATTATGAAATCAGAGCATGAAAAAATTACATGAACACTAAGCAGCTATTATGTTTTCACAGCAGGAGGCTGGTGGAGTCCACCCAAACAACAAGAGGATGTGCTGCACTCCCATCCTCTCCCCTGCTTCCCCTCTTACTACACACACTCACACATACCTTGCTGTTATGCTTGTAAGATCATACCACTTACAGTCTTACAATGTAACTAGGCTCAAAGACAGACAGACACACACACACACAAAAAATCTGTACTGCTTTTCTTCTTTTCTACTCTTTGTACACACACAAACAAAACATGCAATGTCATTTACACATTTCTAGCAATAAAGAGAAAGAATCAGATATAGAAAGTGAAAATAAATCTACATTATCTGCTTCAAAAGCCTAAATACCATATATAAACTCATGACTCATGATTGTGGCAGAAAGAGCTCACAGTGTGATGACTGGTCTTACCACAGCAAGGGGGCCGACCATGGGCTCTTTGGGCACATCTTTTTTCTTCTTGTCTTTTTTATTATTTTTGTCACTCTTCTTGCTTTCACTGCAGATGTTATATATATGAATAACATGTCAAATAATAAGTCTAAATGCATAGTTTCCTTCAAGAGAATAAGTGAGACACCTGTTAAGGTTTATTTGAGAGTATAATATTTGAGTGCTATTTTAAAATCATCACGCTTGAAACCTACTGAACTTTGTTAGAGAAAAGGAGAACATAAAGTGTATTCACCTTAAGTCCCCATTTTGTTCGTGTTTGGCTGTGGACATCCCGTCCACCTCTCCCCGCACATCCATGCCTGGGTCCTGTCACAGGAACAAGAACCTGTTCACATTTCACAGCTCAGTCTGAACAACTTCTATTATACTGTTTTCTTTAAATACACAGCTTGTTAAATCGCCAAAGAGCAGCCTAGGATTCTAACTTGATTAACTCAATCTGCGGTTAATTAAATGTGTATGGCCCAATCATAACAACAGAACAGAGACAGACTTACTGTTCCTGTGCCGTTGTTCCTCCAGACCCCTCTCCGCCGGTGCGCTGTTGACAGAGGGGGTATTGACGCATAGGGCTGCAGTAAAAAAGTCCCGTCCTCCCTTCTCCTCCCTCCTTCTCATTCTCACGTGGATTTCTGTCGTCTTTACATCACAGGATGAGCTTCGATGGGAAACGAGAGTGCTGGCCCCCGCCCTCTTCTGTCCTCGGGAAAGCCGCAGCAGATTTGAGCTGTGCGTGCCTCGGTGAGTCTCATGCACGGTGAACGTGCCTCATAGCAAATTATTGATTACAGAATGTCAGTAACCTCTGGGGCATGGCCGAGGAGCCTGGGTAGAAGTGTCTTACTGTGGCCATACATTGGCTATGTTTATCATAGGTGGAGGAAGAAGTACTCATACTTAATTTAAAGTAGCAGTACCACAGTGTATAATAATACTCTTGTGACTGGATGGATGGCTCCAAACCCCAGATTTGAAACAACTGGACTGAAACAATTACTATAATGTAAAGTGTTTAAAACTCTCCTTGTTGAGCAGCTACAACAGTATAATTCCTTATGCACTGTTGTGCAATTATTTTGGTTCTTCTTACCATTGCTAACTCTGAGAGATGAGACAGTCCAAGTAACTTCAAAACAGTGCTGATTTATTCAAAGGATCACAGGTAAAATTAACATTACACGCTCAGGTATCTTGCACCGCCAAACTGCTCGCAGGCAGATGGAAGATGAAAGACCCTGAACCCACCAGGCCTATACATTATATCCCCTCAGTTGGGCTAGCCCCATACTACACAGAAACGTCAACCGAGATGTCTCTGTTACCAGCTTTGCAGCTGGTCATAGCAGTAGTCAAAACATGAAGCAAATCAATGTATGAATGTGTGTGTCTGTTGGTTAAGTGGTGTGTAGCTAAAAACATTCTCACGACCTCTAGTAACATGTCGTGACTTAAACATAAGAACATATTATGGCTAAGGCTACAGTTATACACATCATAATAATAATATTAAACACCCTGTCTGCTGACAGTCATCAACTCTTCTCTCTAGTTATCCTTGATCAGATGTACCCTGTAGAAACTCATAAGCATGACTAAGCATTTAACAGCCTAACTAGACATCCTATCTCCACTAAACATTTCTAATACATAAAGTATCTATCCAATATCTATCTGACTAAAAATACCTAACAGCACTAATCCAGTACCACTGTCAACAATATGTAATGATACTGTATATCAGGCTATTTTTCTGCACAATAATCCCAGTACTAATAATTGTTTAGCTTATATTTACTCATAATGTTTATTGAAGGCAGGACAATACAATATTATTAGGGATCTCAGTTTTAATAATGTCCAGATTTTGAGATGATAAGGAATCTCACAAGAAATTATACTCTATCTAAAAGCAGAAGGAGAGTGGAAACGAGAGAAGCGAAGACTGTGGTTCTTTAACAGCTGACATTACTGCTGAATCTTGAATGTGTGTTGCTGCATTAGATAGAAGTCATTATGCTTCAGTGTGGGTCAAAGGTACAATATAATATTGTCAAGCTCAAACCACACAGGAGACACAGACGTCAGCGGATGAGTGATAAAATCCCTCATCTTGGAAAACCTTAAAAGAGTTAATTTGTTTAACACTCATGTTATAGCAATGATTACACCTGCTGCTGAAATCTGACACTGTGTGAGTCATTTATGAGGCACCATAAAGACAGATTTCACCCTGTGTCATCATGTCATCTCTCATACCCTTGTATAGCTTTCCTTTAAAAACAGCTCAGAGCAGTTTGAGAGGTTCAAATGGTAGATATAGATTAAAATATATTGTAGATGAAGAACTCCCATAATACTGGTGTTTTACTTTTGTAAATTCCCTCACATTCATTCTTATTCAGAGTTAAAACAAAGCAGAAGAGAATCACATTTACTGTCTTCAGTAATAACACCAACATAAGCGAGGTAACTTAGTAAAGGTCATTAGAGGGTCACCAACATAGTGTGAAATCTCACTTATATTTGTGGTTTATTGCTTATGCCACAGAGTGCTGGGTGTACAGACTGAAGGGACTGAAACTAAAGTACAAAGAAAGAGCAGATTAAGCAGAACACATGACTCCAAGACGTCACTGTTCTGGTCTGTTTCCATGTTTTGATATACTGTATAAATCAAATTTATCCAAAGAGCTGTGAGACAAAAGATGACAGTTGTGTGAATGTCTAACTCCTTTTTCACAAGTTGTAATATTTTATATATTGAATAACCCCAAAACCAAAAACAGTTCTATGATGTAATCCAAGGCAATATTCTGCAATAATACTACTGCATTTAAAATGGTCACTTTGTATGGTGGTATGACTTGAAGCCAAGCTTGTGGAGTTTCCATTATTTTGTCAATTTTAGTTACATGAAATAAGATTTCATAGTAGATTTGATAGTATCTAACACAACTACAACCCATCAAACATACCAGAGAGCAATAATAATAATAATAATAATCAGAAATAGGAAAGAAGACAATACAGCATTTTGTTAATAAATTTCTATTAACGAATTTCCATTAAATGTACTTTTGTCTGATATTCTTCTAATATTCATTTAAGCCATTGAATGTTACAAACCTATCATACTGTATATATAAAATTCCCCACTTGCCCCCTCCACTTTGGGGCGGTCTTATATTCCTTCCTTCAAGCTCAGGTCCTCTACCAGAGGCCTTGGAGCTTGAGGCTCCTGTACAGTATCTTAGCTGTTCCTAGCACTGCACTCTTCTGGACAGAGATCTCAGATGTTGTTCCTGGGATCTGTTGGAGCCACTCTCCCAGTT